CGTCTCCAGTGATAGCCTCTTTTCCTTTACTTTCCCATAAATGTCAGTGATTCTTGGGGCTCAGTCCTAGGTCCTCTCTCCTCCCCTCTCTACAAAACTCTTTCCAAGGAATATTATCCTCTCCTTGACCTCTGCCTTCTGGAAACACCCACACCTTTATCCTGGGCTTCAGACCCATCTGCCTTCCAAATGGACAAAGACCCCTGCCCTGGGAACTGATACTCCAGTGGGGTAGGCAGACATTACACATGTAGACACATGCAGGAGTACTTCAAAAGATTCGTGGAAAAATAGAATGAAAACATAATACAAACCTATCCATAAACTTTTTGAAGTACCTCGTACATGTAATTCCAAGAAGCGATCAGAAAAATACATTAGGGCCAGGGGATAGAGAATTCATTCATCTAATTCAACAAATATTTATTGAGCACCTACTAGGTACCAGGCCCCATGCTAAAGGCAGAGCAATAAATTAAACCAGCAAACTCTGACACTATGGAGCTTATACTCTAGACCAGCAAATAAGGAATCAAAATATATTGTCAGTGTTAAAAAGTATAAAGAAAAATTAAGCAGCGTAAGGGTTAGAGGGGAGCCTGGCTGCCGTGTTAGGTACAGCAGTCAGGAGAGACCTCTCTGTTGAGGTGACATTGAGCAGAGATCTCAGAGAAGCGAGGACAGGAGCCATGTGAAGATCTGGAAGAGGAGGTCTCCAGGGGAGGGAGTGCCAAGTGCAGAGGCCCTGGGGCAGGAGCAAGCCTGGCATGTTCCAAAAGGGCAAGAACGCAGGTGGCAGGGATGGGATGAGTGGGACGGCGCTGGTGGGGCCGCCTGTAGAACCTGGGGGTGCAGATGCGTTCAGGTTCACCACGTTGTGCTCTACTGTGTCGGTTGTCACGTCTGTCTCCCCCAGTCAACTGTGTGCTTCTTGAAGGCAGGGTTTCACCTTGTGTCTGTATCCTAAAGGCCTAGCCCAGTGTCAGGCACACAGTCGGTGCTCAATGGATATTCACCAAATGAGTGAATGACTAGCAGCCATGGCAGTGATGCCGAGGGTGGCCCTGGGGGCCTGGTCTTGTGCTAGGTGATATCATGATGGGGTTAATAGGGGTGAGACGGTGGATACTCCCTTCTGGAACTTTTCTTCCATCTCCTCTCTGGAGAGAGAGGGGCTGGCCGCCCCAGGGTGTAACTGACTCCTGGCTCTCATTCCGCCTACAGACTATTTAAACAACCTCTGCCCAGACTCGGCTGAGTATGATAGCACACAGGGTAAGTCCAGCGCCAACCTGGAGAAAGTGAATACATCCCTGTTCGGGCCCCTCTCCCCCCAACCCTGGACTCCACATTGGTTCCCAGGCCCAGGACACAGTCCCCTCCCCCAGCTGGGTGTGTTCTGCACATGGCACTCCTGGGGCTTCTGTGAGAGCCTCCGAATCTTCTGAGATGATTCCCCCTTCCCGTCAACCATGGGGACTCCCTGAGATGGGCTGATGTTCAGTCGGAGCAGAAGGGGGTCATCAGAATTTGGTGGGAGGAGGGGTGGTGCTGGGTCTGAAAAGCCTACCCCAGTCTCCCTGTTTCCTCCCAGTCCCGTGTAGCTGCCCCTGCATATGACCTGTTAGGGCAGTTCCTATTATACCATGTTCAGTTTAAAGTCACGGGGACTGAGGCAGAGTGGTCAAATCACTGTCAAGGTCAGTTAGGCAGTAGTGGCAGAGCTGGGGTTGGGGCCTGTGACCTGACACCACAATGGGAAAAATTGGTGCCCTCCCCCCCCACACACACAAGGCCCTGGAGCTGCAGCGGGTCAGGGAGTGGGTGGGGGAGGGGCAGAGGTGGTGAGCATCGGGAAAGAGGCCAGGACAGTGGACACCACTAGACTGGCGCTCTCTGATGGCCGCTGTCCACTCTGTTTCCCTCTGCAGGTGTGCTGACGCTCATCTCCAAAGTTACAGACCGTGCCAATGACAGCATGGAGCAAGGGGTAAGTCTGGCCCTTCAGTACCTTCCCTTGGGTGTGGGTTCCTGCCCCGGTTGGCCTTCTGATATCCCACTCCTAGAGGGCTTCAGGCAGCCATCTATCTCATGGGAGTCTGCAAAGAGCCTTGCGTTCTGGCCCTGATGCTTGCTGTGTGACCTCGGGCACTGTGTGTCCTTCTGGGCCTCTGGTTCACCATTCATGCAATGAGGGGAGCTACAGACTTGTACAGACCTGATGAGTCATGCCTGACTGTAGTCTGAGACGATTTGCATGAGCACCCAGGGTGCTTTGTCAACTACAGATTCTAGGCACACCTTCAGTCTTCCCAGTTGAGTTTTTGAGTATAAAGGATCCAGACATAGGCATTTTAATCAAGCATTCCAGGTAAATGTTATGCCTAGAAAAGTTTAAGAATCACTAGTCCACTCGAATGTGTGGGCTCTAAGCGTACATCTGGTCTGACAGTGTGTGACTCTGTGTTTGTTAGTTGCTTATTGGGTGTTTACTGGGTTTCTGCTAAGGATAGTAAACTTTATCCCACGTCCCATTACTATTTGAGTGGTTACCATGGTTATTAGTGTCCACATATTCACTGCTCCCCTAAGCAGTAAACATGCTAGAGCTCTGTGTTGAGAATTACCCTGAGGCTGAGTCCTAGCTCAGAGGGAAAGCATTCAGAGGTCAATTAATCACGTCTTCCTCAGGTGTAGAAGGGGGTAATGGTGGTATGTGTGCTGAGGAGTTGCCCGGCTTTGCTGTGACAGACACACACAGCACCGTACAGTGAGTCATCCACAGAAGAAGAAACAGCAGTTATTAGACGCTGACTGTGTGTCAGGTCCTGTGCTGTGTTGAGAGAAGCGATAAGACATGAACCCTAGCTCTTGAGGACATCTCAGCTTAGTGGAGCAGTGAGTATGTGGACGTGAATAACCACAGTAAACGTCACGAGAGAGAGAGAGAGAGAGAGAGAGGGAGAGCTGCAGGGGTCAGAGGAGGGAGGCGCCCCTTCCAGCTGGACTGTGAGCAGAGATGTGGGAGGTGCCTCCGAAGGGAGGGCGTGTGCATGTGCCAAGAAGGCAGAGGGAGAAGAGATGTGCTGGCCGTGGAGATGGGAAGGCGGAGGGGATGCTGGTGTTCAGAGAGTCACCTGGTATGGCTGGAAGATGGGAACAGGGTAGGAGAGGTAGGACAAGAGCCAGGGGAGAGGGGTGGGGTGGCTGGAGAGGGGGTGAGCTGAGCATGGAGGCTGGAGCCAGCTGGGTGTGAAACACAGGCCAGTTCCTGGGACTGCCTTTGGGGTGGGTCAGACACAT